ACAATAGGCCTGCACGCGCGACAAGAGGCCTGTGTGTTTGCAGGCTAGCTTGAAGCGCACCAGCTGGAGCACTGCCACCTCTGGCAATGCGCCGTCACTGCCTTGGGAGGCGCATCGCCGCTGTCGGTGAAGGAGGCCCTCCCTCTTCATTTGTCATGTCGAGCATCTTTTTCTCCTTTCTCTTTACTGGATTTTGCCACTTGGCGCGAATCTAACAGTTCTAAAATTTTATAAATTTCCCTCCCCTTTCCCTTCCTCTCTACACTTTCATTGTTCTATTTTTTAAAGGTTTAGAGAGAGAGAGAGAAAGATAATAGTCTAGTGAGAGAAGAGAGAAAGAACGAAAAACAGTGAGGGAGAAAAGATCAAAATTTCGTTAAGGAATCTAGTATTTCTTTCTACGTCTTAAGGAGTATTTTTAGATAAACTAATTTAATATAATTATTAATTTACCTGTTTTGTATGCCTCAATGTTCAAATGAGTTGAATTGTTCTTGTTTTCAACCATGCTATGTGAATTGCAGACACTTGATTAATTTGCATGTAATAATTATAATATGTAATCAGTAACAGAAAAAGTATAAAAGAAAAGTTAAAAAAAAAAAGACAGTTGAACGAAGCCTATATGGTCTAAAGTTTATTTGTATTGACATGCATATTACATCAAGTGTCTCATTAGGCTTTTTATCTCTGATGGGTATCTATTCTCCTTACCCTTAGAGGTATCTGTTTTCCCCTCCTTTATCTGGTTTGGAAAGACATAAGAGGACTGTTCCCAGTGAATGACGGCGTACCCTTTGACGAGAGTGTTGTCTCACTATCTGTAGGGGTCACTCGTGACTAAGTAATGTCGTGAGTGCAAATATCTGTTATGACCACTATGGCTGGTACAGTTGGGGTTATAGATTGTACCATAGTTTGGCCAGCCGGAAATGGGTCTGAGCAAATTACCGTATCTATATCTGATCTAGTCATTCTACTTGGGTTGTTAGAAATCTGTATAAGCCCTTAGATATGGAAGTTGTAACGACTTCGCAAAGCATGACACAAAAATTTGAGCATTTCATGATTTATTTGATTTTCTCTATTATCTGGCATGATGTATGTTTGATGTTCTGTGTTAACGTATCGTTTTCTTAACAAATAAATGATTTTCCATAATGTGAGATAAGTAAACGAGAAAGTTAAAAGATAAGATAAAATAATTAACTTTTGAAATCTTATGATGTTAATTTAATACTGTTTTCCTTATTGAGCATATGGAACTTACTCTTTCCATGCCCCTCCCAGATGAGGAAGAATGTGAGGATCCCGTAGATCCACAAGTCTAAGTGCATGATCGTTCCCGCACTCTGATGAGTCTAGTAACATAGTGAAAGAAGTGGCCCTTATGTTTTATATTTTGCTCTCCACTTCTGACCTCAATATATGTATATATTGGAACTCATATATATTTGTAAGGGGTTTATAATTATTTTATTCTACTGCATAAATTTTATCATGCACTTGTTATTCTGAACCTGTATCTGATACCCATTTGTCTTAATTAGCACTTGGGATATCACAATAACTTTTGAAAGAAAGGGGAGACAAACCATCTAGGTTTGTAGCTTAATAGGGTGCATTTATTTCACTGCCTCAGAAACCTCCTTTGTTGTATATGATGCGAGAAGTTGTGTATTCATATCCATAGTTATCCTACTAAACATTCATTGAAACACTTCCTCAATTTGCTCCACATGTGCATCTCCAAACATATATGTAAAGTGTTACACAAATAAACCTGATATATTTTCCTAGTGTTACACAAATAAACCCGATATATGTTCTTGATTTGTCATTAAACCCCTTCTTCAGTTTTACTCTTCACAAATAAACCTGATATACTTGCCTAATGTTACACAAATAAACTCGATATATTTTCTTGATTTGTCATTAAACCCTTTCTTCAGTTTTACTCTTCACTATGGTGTTTATCTTCTTTCTCTGGGATACTATTTTATGAATAAAATGTAGTATCATTATTCCCCCATTTAACCAATTAGCTCGAGATTGCTAGGCTAATAATATCTCTTTTTTTTTATTATGTAACTCATTTAGTTATATCCCATTTTTCCTCCAGTTATCCATAATATCCCCTATAACGTGAACACCCTATAACATATGCATCTCAATTTGTAATCTACCAATTTTTCTTCTAATATTACCCATCACCTCCTTATCCTATTTGGTTAATGCAGTAATAACATGATAAATGTTACCTAATAAATCAACACTAGTCTGTCCCCACTTTGTTGTAATAAGATTATGATATATGACTCCTGCAATCACATAGCCTTTAAACGAAACAACTTTTAATTTTTTTTTATTCATGCTTAAACTTTTCAGTATTAAGGATTATATCAGCATGGTCAAAAAATGTATCTTGATAAATAGAATATGAAAAATGTGGCAAGGCCAACCTCCAATCATAAGATGCTATGAATATATCAAGCTTCTTTCCGTATATTTTATGTACCTTTTCACCTGTTAAACGAAGTAAATTGATAGCTTGTATAGCCAAAATCGGTCAAGTTATACGCTTTTAAAGTATTTTTAAGAATCTCCATTAAGTGCCAAGGAATCCTGCGATCACCTTTCTCTTCATGCTGCTATAATATTTCATTAAAATCTTTGCCCAATACCTAAGGACATGAATTTACCCATGACAATTGTAATAGGAAGTCTCAAGTAATTTGTTTTTGTATATTGTGAAACTAACCATAGATTCCTATGAACCGCCACTTTAATTCATCATCATCAGGTACTAATAAATCAATGTGATTGGTGGAAGGTGAAAAAACCTCAAATTAAGAATCAGTAGGCTTCATTATGCAAATGCCCGACAATCTATTTTATTCTTAAGTGATACAATTGATAGGTGCCCAGAACAATAACAAGAAGGCTTGCACGTAAGTTTCTATTGTTGGGGTAAAAACCACACCTTTTATTTTATTTCTTGCTTGCCTCCTCATCCATAATCTGATGAGGTTAAAATAGAAATGAAACAACAACTTCTCCCTCCTATCTAGAGAGCACGACGCCAATAAGAACCAAAAAATCTCACAAAAGGATAAGATCAATGTTGAAATTAAATAATAAAAAAAAATGGGGAAATTGATGCTGAATAGTTTGATCAGATCTTGCGGGAGTTCGGCTTGCTTCCATGATACCGGAATCAGAGGTATTTAGGATTCTTGATCGGGATCCTTGCTGATCTTCTGGTTGTATCATTGCCTCCCTCTTTTGCAGGAACCTTGTCCTCAAGGTTCAAGGAGCCAAATTTATCTGTTAGTTCCCTGTTATTTTCCCAAGTAGCTTCTTTTGGGGGTATTCTTCCATTGGACCAAGCTTTTTTCAATAATTTTTGCTCCCTTCTTGATCCATTGGGTTTCCAAAATGGTTTGGGGTTGCAGCAGTAGGTCCCCATCTTAATATATTTTAGGTAGATGTTCGATCGGGGTAACCGTTTCACCAATCTATTTTTTTAACATGGAGACGTGAAAAATAGGATGGATACGCGACCCTTATGGTAGCAGGAGCTTGTAAGCAACTGGTCCAATTCGATGAAGGATCTGGTAAGGTCTATAATATCGACAAGCAAGTTTTTGAAAGGCTCTCTTGAAACCCGTTTGCTGCTGATATGGTCGAAGCCTGAAAAAGACTCAATCACCCTCCTAAAATTTGACTTCTCGTCGATGGGCATTGGCGGTAGTTTGCATGCGACCGTTGGTTGCTTGTAAATTGGTTCAAATTTGTTTAAGGAGGGCATCTCAATTACAAAGCTATTGGTCAACTTCATTGATAAGGGTTGAGCCGTGGTGGTAACGAGGAATTGGTGGCGATGGCCTCCCATATAAGGCCTGGAATGGTGTCATCTTGATAGAGGAGTGGTAGGTTGTGTTGTACCAAAATTCGACCCCAAGGAAGGAGGGAACTCCACTTGCGTGGTTGTTGGTTGTCTAAGCACCATTGATATTTTTCCAAATTGCGGTTCACGACCTCCGACTGTCCATCTGTTTGCAGGTGGTAGGAAAAGCTCATCTGGAGCTGAGTGTTTGACAACTTAAAAAACTCTTACCAGAAGTAGCTAGTAAAGACCAGATCTCTGTTACTAATTATGGAGCGAGGCATACCATGTAGTTTAACCACATTGCCCATAAATTTTTCTGCTATGGTTTTAACAGTCTAGGTATGAGCCAAAGCAATGAAGTGTGCACTCTTACTGAGACGATCAACCCCAACTAAGATAGTATTCTTTCCGTTTGAGAGAGGCAGTTCTTTAATGAAATCCATGGAAATATCATCCCATATCTGGCATGGGATTGGCAATGGTTGGAGGAGGCCAGTTGGTGACAGTGTCTCAGTTTTGACACGTTGGCAGGTGTCGTATGTCGCTATATATTCTTTAATGTCTCAGTGTATGGCAGGCCAATAAAATTGTTGGGCCAATCTTTTATAATTTTGTTGGAAACCTGAGTGGCCACCGGCCAAAGATGAGTAGAATTCCTGCAGTAATTGTTGTGTGATTTCTGATTTAAGAGGGACAACAATTTGATTCTTAAAGTAAATCAACCCGTTCTTGAGTGAAAAGGAACCCTCTGCTGAGTCAGCGGCTAATTTGCGGGCTGTTTACATGTAGGGATGATCCACAGCTTCACGGATGGTGCCCCATTATTTATTTTTGGGCATAGAAATAGCAGGTAATGTGGGACTATCTTTCCTACGAGATAGAGCATCAGCGGCATAGTTGTATTTTTCGGGCTTATATACGATCTCATATTCGTAGCTAAATAACTTAGAGAGCCATTTTTGCTGTTCTGGGGTTGTGATTCGTTGGTTTAGCCCATCAAATATGGACTCCATAATTTTATGGCAATAACAATGACAAGCATCTCTTTGGTGTATGTTGACCATGACTGCTTGGCAGCGCCTAATGCCTGACTCATGTAAGTTATAGGTTACCCATGCTTGGTGAGGACAGCCCAGATGCCGCAACCAGAAGCATCAGTTTCTATGATAAATGGCTCTTCAAAGTTCGGGAGTGCCAAGGTAGGAGTGATGGTCATGGCAACTTTGAGGTTTTGAAAAGCTGATTCTGCTTCTTTGGTCCACTCAAACTGTCCCTTTTTCAAGAGATTAGTCAAAGGCCGAGCAAGGATTCCATACTGCCGAACAAACTTTTGGTAATAGCCAGTCAGACCCAAAAATCCCCTTAATTCCATGACATTGTTTGGTCGAGGCCAATCTAAGATGGCCTTAATTTTGGTTTGATCCACTTTGACCCTTTGTGAGGTGACTATGTGCCCCAAGTACTCAAGTTCTTGATGTCCAAAGACGCACTTTTTTAGCTTAATGAAAAACTGATGTTGCTACAAGATGTCACAAACCTGCTTAACCTGCTCAAGATGCAGTTCCCAGCTGGAACTGTAGATCAAGATGTCATAAAAAAAAAAACTAAAACAAACTTATGAAGGTGCTTACTGAAGATGTTGTTCATGATGGCTTGGGAGGTGAAAGGGGCATTGCAGAGCCCAAATGGCATGACGAGGTATTCATAATAACCGTTATGAGTGCAGAAGGCTGTCTTGTGAATATCTGTTGGGTGTACCCTAATCTGGCGATAGCCCGCGGTGAGGTCGAGTTTAGTAAAGAAAGCAGCTCCATGGAGTTCATCCAACATGTCATCAATCGTAGGGATGGGAAACTTGTCTTTGATGGTGATTGAATTGAGGAGCCTGTAGTCGGTATAAAACCTCAAAGTCCCATCTTTCTTGTGTACTAATAGCACCGGTGAAGAGAATGAGCTGGTGCTTGGCCGAATCAGCCCTGAATCAAGAATTGCATTTACCTGTTTCTCAATTTCACTTCTTTGGAAATAAGCATACCGATATGGCCTAACATTTACGAGTTCAACCCCTTCCTTCAAATTGATGCGGTGATCAACATCTCGGTAGGGAGGAATAGACTACGGGTCATTGAAGAGATCCTGGTACTGATCCAAGAGGGCCTTCATGTCGTGATGGAAGGAAAGCAAAGAGGAAAAACCTTAGGCCTGCAGCTGTACTACGAATAGGGAGGAGTGCCAAAATGTGTCCTTGGTGATTTTTTCTGCTGAAGTAATCTAGAGTGGTGGGGCGTCAAGGCCCCGTAATTACCTCAATCGACCACCCCACTGGAATTCCATGGTCATCCGACCCCAATCACACATGACCGTCCCTAACGCTTCCAACCACTGAATTCCAAGAACAAGATCGAGATCAGTTAACGGCAACTCAAAAAGGGTCAAATGGAAGAATATACCTTGGATGTTAACCAACACATTCTCAAATCGTCCGTGACACCCTATCGGGCTATCGATCGAAACCTCGACTGAGAAAGCTTGGGTCGGGAGTATTGGTAGTTTCCGAAAACTCGCGACTCGCTCACTAATGAAGTTGTGAGTTAAGCCATTATCGATGACGATGACAATGTGCTGATTGTGGATAGTTGCGGCAACACGCATTGTTTTTGTGGCAAACCAACCAGTGAAAGCATGAAGAGAAATTTCAGGCTCTTCTTCACTCGGTTCTTCTTCTTTTTCGGTCCCTTCCAAGAGCAGGACTTGAGCTATGCGGCAGTGGTGGCCTATGGTGAACTTCTCGTCATAGTTGAAGTAAAGGCCCTGCATTCGGCAACACTGCATCTCTTCCCACGAGAGGCGCTTGGGGGTCGAATCTACAGCTAGGGTTGGGGACGGGTTGATCGGGTTACGTCCGACCTGATTGAACCTTCTCTACTGACCTGTTTGCTATTCCTTCATACGGGCCAAGTTGATGGCCTCCTTCAAGGATTTGGGCCTGAACATCTGGATTCCCTCAGTGATCTCAAGCTTCAGTTCGCCAATAAATGTCCCTATCAGGACCTTTTGAGTCCAACCTCTCACCTTGTTGCCCAATCTCTCAAATTCTATTTGGTAATCCTGTAAGGGCCCAGTCTGCCTCACTCTGGATAGGGCTTCGTTGAAGTCTTCACATTCGGGTGGCCCAAAACGAGCCCAAACTTCTTCTTTAAATTTGGTCCATATCACCATTCATCCTTCTTCTTGATAAGTCCGGTGAAGCCACTGCCACCATTGGTTGGCTTCACTTTTTAAGTGAAAAGAAGCTAGCTAGACCTTCTGCTCTTCCGGAATTCCTTGATACTCAAAAAATTGTGCGACGTGGTTGAGCCACTCGGTCGGGTCATCTCCGGAGAAGATAGGAAATTCCAGCTTGGTGAGCTTAGAGAAAAAAGGTTGTTGGCCACTGTCATTTTGCTCAGCTCCTTCGCTGTGGTTGTGTTCCTCTATTTCAGTTTGGGGTGTTGCAACTAGAGCCTTCTCGGTTAATAAACAGAGTCTCTATTAACCATTTGAGGGTAGCCTCCAGTTGGTGGAGTTTATCGGCAACTCCGAGCTCTTTTCAACTGAAGCTGTCCTGTAGTCCACCGACGCTTGCTTCCAAATTCTCAATCCTTTCCTTGTGAGACATGGCTTTAATACCAAAATGATAGGTGCCCAGAACAATCACAAAAAGGATTGCACATAAGTTTCTATTATTGGGATAAAAAACCACACCTTTTATTTTATTTCTTGTTTGCCTCCTCATCCATAATCTAATGCGATTTAAATAGAAATGAAACAACAGCTTCTCCCTGCTATCCAGGGAGCACGATGCCAGTAACAACCAAAAAATCTCACAAATTAAATAATAAAAAAAGGGGAAAGTTGATGCTGAATAGTTTGACCAGACCTTGTGGGAGTTCGGCTTGCTTCCATGATACTGGAATCAGAGGTATTTGGGATTCTTGACCAGGATCCTTGCTGATCTTCTGGTTGTATCAACAATCAGCACTAACTAGACCAGCAAGCTTTTAAAATTTTCCTTGACACCATACATTTCTTTGATGGTTTTTTTCATTTTCATAAGGAAAATAATAGTAAGGAGGTGAGGCGTAACAATCTTCTGAAGCCGTTTAATTGCCAAAGCTGTTTCTGAACCACAACAATTGTAATTAATGGGTTTATTGGCTGTTGGTTAAGTCTCTACCAATTGAACCTTCAAATTCCATCTTCATAT